TGTTTGTTTTTCAAAATGTGACCTTTTGTGCGGTGTGATCTGAGACATATATATCTAAAACGTTGCTATTTCAGATATCAAATCTTTCAAAGGTCATTATCCATAATACTAAATCACTAAATCCATAGGTATTATAATCCGTTCATACTCCTTAACGAAAATATATAGGTTGTAGGTGAATTCTGAAAAACGCCTCAGTGACAGACAGTGACAATGAGACATGATGTGACGAAAATATTTTTGAGTTTACTTAGGCAAGCTCTACTATCACTTTTTTCTGCATCGTCCATTTGCATATTATAAGCATTGGAAGAGTTTGTGTAACATAGATCTTTTAGCATTTTTATTTTTTCGTTCAATTTAAACCGCGAAATTTGACGAGGTACGTGTTGGTCACTTATAATTCAAATTCAAATTCTTTATTCATGTCACAATACATAAAATATGTTTACATACGTCAAATGAGAATTGCATTAGAATTAAAACACAGGGAATGCTAATGATCATAAAAAAATACAAACAAGTACATCAGCACTCATAAAGATATAACGCTAACATAACATATTAAGATTTATAGTTAAAATGTATCTCTTAAAAACTCTTCAAACGTGTAAAATGAGTTATTAATAAGAATTTTCTTGATTTGAACTTTAAAATCTTTAAACGGATGCGATTTTAAGCCGTCTGGAAGAACATTAAAAAATTTGACCGCCCAATAACCAGGTCCATCTTGACACCTTCTCAGTCGCCAATAAAGAGGTACTAGATTGTCATATGCCTAGTATTATCTCATGGACGACCCCATGAGTTACAAAGTTAGAGTTTCTTTTAACGAACAGTAGATTTTCAAAAATATATAAACAAGGTAGAGTAAGGATTCCCAACTTGACAAAGGTATCTCTGCAATCGTCCCTGTAGCCCAAACAGCTCACAACCCTAACTGCACTTCTTTGCAAGGCGAAGAGTCTATGGACCCCCAAAGAATGCCCCCAAGCCAGAATGGCGTAGGATATATGTGAATGGAAAATGGCAAAGAAAGCCATTCACAATATGGCTACAGAAACACAAGAAGACAGACTCCGTAACACATATATTCCTTTGGTGGTCTTTCCAGCAACACTGTCAATGTGAAGGCCACATTGCAATCTTGGATCCAAGGTAACCCCCAGAAACTTGGCTTCACCAACCAAATCACTGTCCCCAGGAAGGCTTCGTATGGAGAACACTATTCTCTTTATCTTATCTTTATTTAGCAATAGCTTGTTGGAGCAAAACCACAGCTCAGCCTCATCCTGCCATTGAGCCATTAAAACTGTTAGCAGTGTGAAAGACGGTCGTATCATCCGCGAAGAGAGTAAAGTTTGCCATATTGTTATTGAGAGGTAAATCATTTATGTAAATTAAAAAAAGAATTGGGCCCAATTGGTCCCTGTGGGACGCTAATATTAACACTTCGGTCCGCTGATGTCACTCCATCACATCTCACCACCTGAGTTCTATTACTAAGGTAAGGCTCAATTAGTTTAACAGAATCACAACTAAAGTTGTAAGCATGGAGCTTTTTTAAAAAGATGTCATGGCTCACACAATCAAATGCCTTACTAAGATCGCAGAAAAGAACCGTGTTATACCCTCCTCCATGGAAAGCATCAATTATAGAAGAAATCAGATTAAGTACACCCATAATAGTCCACTTACCCTGATGAAAACCAAACTGATATTGTGAAAACAATTCATTGTCTCAAAACAGGTTACCAGTCTCAAAGCCATATGTTGTTCTAAGATTTTAGAGATAACTGGAAGAAGGGATATAGGTCTGTAGTTCTCCAGTGAATCAACATTGTCGTTCTTAAAAATAGGTGTGACACTAGCTCTCTTCAGAACAGTAGGAACAATATTTTCTCTAAGACAAATATTAATCAATCGTGTTAGATGGATCAAAATTATGTTCTTTATACATTTTACAATTTTAAAGTGAAACCAAAAATATCTTTACTGTTTTTATTTGTGAGATTATCTATTATATCGCGAATCTCGTTAAATGTGACTTCAGAAAAAGAAAAGAGAGGTGGTGGTACCAGGAAATCAATATTATTTACAGGATCTAAATTTACATCAGGGATGTGATTTACTATATCACCTGCTATGCTTATAGGTTTGACCACTGTATTGGACTTACTCTAGATCTATATTTCTCATTTTCCTTTATTTGATGTAACATGTATTTATACAAAAGATCAGACATTTAAATTTCAGGTTGTTATCGACATTGAAAAAGCAACCTTTGATCCAAGGGATCTCAAGAGTGCGACTTTAGTCAAAGATTAGTAGATTAAGGGCCAATTTCACCAACATGAATATTTGACGGTCAGTTGGACCAATAGGAAAAGACCTTATCGAAATGCAATTTGACGGAAGCTGTCAAAGCTCTCTGAATATCAGCGATTTCTATTGACATGTTGAATGAAGTCGTGAAAAAACGGTTGCCTCACAAATAAGGGTACATTATAGATGTAATATTATGTCTTTGTGCTTTAGAATTAGGATAACTTTCAGAGACTTTCAACTTTATATCATTTCTCAAAAGATGGTCAGTTATTTAAATGGACCAATGAAAATGAGAGAAATAATAGGTCGATTTTCTAGCTATTATATTTAGTAGGATGTTTTCACTGTTTTTGACGACTGTTCATGCATAGCAATCTAGTTTTGTCACTATATCACGTATCAATGTTGTACATCATACGTACCTGTAGAAATGTACCGACTTTTGTTATGTTGCAAAAAAGGATATAAAACGTATTCCAACTGGTTCATCATCTTTTGTTACATCGAAAACAATTTAATTGCCAATTTATGATCTAGAAATTCACACCAAATGTAAACAAACAGCATATTCTGCATTTCTGGGTCCTAAAACATCGATATTTGTAAAAGTATCCGCATCCACCTATTATTCATCGTCTAGATATTATAATTCAGAATCAAAAATACCTATTTATGAAAATATATCTTCAAACATTGTTATATTTTCTTGTTATTTCTATTATTATAACACGTTTGTGATATCAATTGCTTTTAAAGTGACCTGCACATCTACAGTGTTGCCGAACCGGCCAAAAAAACGGAATCGGTAAATAGTGTCATTGAATTCGGTATAAGGAAAATGCCGTCCCAAGATCAGTAATAGATCAAGGACCTTTGAGTCATGAAAAAAGTCTGTTATTGTATTGGGCGCGCACACAACATGTTTTTTGAGGGCGTAGTTCTATATTACAACTTCTACAATGTGCATACTGGTCGCTCTTTCAAAGTACATTGCAACAATTCTGGAAACTCCTTTTTCGATTCTTGCTTATAGGATTGTGAATATTTTTCTGTTTTACCCCTGAACTGATGAACTCACCTCTAATTTTAATTAAATATTTATTCTGAAAACATAGAGGTTTCGGTTTCTTTATTGCTTGTCCGGTGATGAGGTAATGACGGTAATCTACCGTCAATATTTCATTTGAAGCTTTTATTTGTCATAAGATTTTAGCAAAACGTAAGTTTGTAAAGGCAACACCGCACCCTGCAGCCCAGTTGACAAGAACGACAATCTGTTAAGATTACTGATGTTTAGATCCACAAAAAGAATCGATATGTATCGATTCTTATCGTTTTAGGAAGTATCGATACTCTAAAATATTGGAATGAAATTATCGATATCCAGCGGAAGGAAACAAAGAAGGAAAGTAATCTGAAATTAGTCACTCTTTCTGATACAGTCTGGATCGAAAGATGACGATACTCGTGAAATGTATCGATACGCCCAAGTGTCGTATATAAAAATATCGATATAAAATTTCGGGTATGGGAAGCAAAAGTATCGATACTTCTAAATATAGGATCGTATCGAACATCCCTACTGTCAAGATGTATAACCCGAGGTACCGACGGAGCTATTTTGGGGCGTCATAGAAATAATTTTAAATTTTCATTTGCATTTTTTCAAGTGTTATGCAACGATTTTGGGAAAAATTCCATATAAAGCATAGTAGAGTATATTTCAACAGTTGGCGGAGCCTACCGGTTACCCCACTGGGACCAAGGGTTGACGGATCCCACACATGTGTCACTCGTTGGGGAGTCTTGAAATGTACAGGTAATAATCAGCTGTTATTCAAATAATGTCTAATATAAATAGAACCTAGAATGTGTACTCAGTGAAACAAGAGAGTTATTGCAAATTCTATTTTTTTGCAGGTTTCAAGTTTGCCGGTAGCTTTACGACATATATTTGAGTATTTCTTAATCGCTGTAAATATTGTGTGGATGTTTGTTCAGTTCCTGAACTACCAAAAAGTATTTGACTTTATGGATGTATGGATATCAAAAACCCTGAATGGTTTTGTGGGAATATCAATCGACGGTGCTATAATGGTACGGATGAACAGCAAGTAAATGAATGAATGTCTGGAAACGAGCAATATCTATGAAATTTTTGGTGGAGCCTGTCATCAAGTAGGTGCTTAATGGCTGTATGCAAGAGGTTTATAGGTAAAAACACACGGTAGGTAATGTTGAATTAGTAAAATCGCATATCAATTGAATAAAATAATATAAATATGAATAAACAATCGGCAATATTAAATAAAAACATGAATTTTGTTCAAAAATCGAACACTTTTTTAAATTTTTGACTAAACCATATGTAACTTCTTAATAGTCAATAAGCTGGTGATGTTTCAATAACAAGCTGTCATCTCATACTTTGACAGCATTTTGTTTTCAACATTTCATAGCTATTGGTTGCTAAAATTTGTTGATTGGAACTTGAAGCTCATTCGCTGTATTTGACGGAGTGTTACCCTATAGGTGGAAAATAACGGACTGTTGATTTGACCATCCTCGTGAAATCCACCCTTAGTAGATTTTAAAAAAATGCGACGTATATCTATCAAAAATTATAAACAGATCTTTTTTAAATATTAGCATACATCCAAAAATGAACCTACCCGCTGACAATCCGGCAAGCAACCTTCCAAGGATAAGCATCTCAACACTACCAGCAGGCTTGCAAGAGAAGAACATTACGGCAGCCATTGCAGCCAAGGCAGCGCATATCACCAAGACGCTCTTTCTGCCCAACCGGGCGGCCAGTGCAGAGCCGCCCAATGACCCTACGGCCGCCCCCAATATGAACGTGCACACCACTGTGGACCATACTATGTTCAGGGCACATGGGGATGGATAATCGCCATAGTGGGCGAATATACTTTCGTTGCAGAATTGTCGGATGATCTGAAATTGGAACATTTATAAAAACGACTTCAAACGATTAAATAGTTTGTTCTTGTAAAATAGCTAAATGCAATCTCTTTCATACAAAAAAGAAATATCAAAACCTGTTCACCCCTCGTTCATCCATTTATTCCTCTCCCAATTATTGATGGCATGGAAAAATTGATGGGCGATATATGGATGGATGAAAGAATTAGACAAATTAATTATTTCCCTAAAGGGGCTCTTGAACACTCTTCAAGGGTATGAAAAAATTAGCAGGTCATTGAAAGTATTTGTTTCGAAACGATGACCTTTCTTAAGAGTGTGAGTATTTTCTTGAATTTTGAGGTAGCAGTATGTCTGTAAAAATAAGCCACCAGACATAGATTTGCGATGTGAGGATTGTGAAGAGGATATCCGTAAAGGCAGTGCAAAGTAAAATGTTGTAATGTAAATTGTGAAGTTACCCTACATCAGAAATGCTTCTCATCGATTGCCAAAGCTATAAAATTAGAAAAATCATATGGCAATGGAGCTTGCTAAAGTGAAGTTAAAATTCGGCTACTATTAACTGACCTTATTAATGAGTTAAAATCTACTAACAAAATTTTGCTTGATAAAATTGAACAAACCACATCCAGCAGACCTCCCGATGCGCAAATACAGCAGAATACTGAAATCTCGAACCTTAT